AGTGTACTTAAGTCCCCCGGTAGAAACTGTAAATATGGAAATGGCTAAAGAAATACAAAATTCTATAAAAAGATTTGATTTATCATTAGCAGAACACCAAACTTATTTCTGGGATGATGAATTATTTGAAGAAAAAGAAGAAAACAAAAAGAGCATCCCACAAAAGACTTTTTCAGAAGAAGGTGATCTAACAAGAGAAATACAACAAGAAGAAAAAACAATAGATGAAATAATTGCAGAGTTACGTGAAACCCCCCACCCCACTCTTCAATTTCTTAAAATATTAGTCAAGAGCTAACAAATACAGAAGAGGAACAAAATAAAATAATAATGGGAAAAGAAAAAACGGTAACTTTCAGCACACCAGCATACAAAGAAAAGCCTAAGGCTCACTCCACCCCTTTTCTACCCAATACAGTTTTAGAAACCACCGAAATAGAAGCTGAAGAAGAACAAAAAAGGAGTAAAATAATCCCAAGAAAATTAGTAGAAGAAGATAAAAACATTACTAAATCAAAAGAAAAACAAAGAAGTAACATAAAAATTAGCTGTGTAAATTTCGAACCAACTAAACGTATAAATATTACTATGCCCCACATAGACGATGAAGAATTTCTATTCTCACCCATCAAAAAGGTAGACCAAGAATCTTTTTTTAAAAGAATAGATACACTTACTTACGATAGAGAGGCTATTATTATGTCAAGGACAATTATGTCCATTTTATTTCTAGAGACGCCGAACCTAGTTGTTCCATAACCAAGTTAATGATAGCTATAAGGGGTTTAGATTTAATGGAAGTAAAATATAGGAAACCTAATGTAGAAAGAAAATTAATCACACCTAGAGGTAAAAATAACATATACACTGTAGTGTTAGCAAAGAAATATGATGATAAGTTAGACATAGAAGAAGTAGAAGAAATCTTATACAAACTTAAAGAAGTTTTGATAAAAGAAAATGTGAAACATTTCCGTATATCTAGATATGGGGACCTAACAGAACCCATGGGAAACAACTGGATAGAGAAACTAGTGAAAATATTCTACAAAACGGACATACAGATAAAACTATGTTTCGGGAAAATAGAAATCCCCACAGAAGAGGACAGACCAAAAATATTGAAAGAATATCACGAAAGTTTGATAGCTGGACATAAAGGTGTAAACAAAACTTATAGAAGAATTAGGGAAAAATACACTTGGCCAGGTTTGCGACACGATGTAATAAAAATAATAATAAAAATAATAATAAAAATAATAATAATAATAATAAGAAAATGCAGGAGCTGTGCACAAAGAAAAATAATTAGGACAAAGTGTCCTTAGATACAGTAGGAAAATTACCTACAACGTCAAACGGTAATTGCCATGTACTAACTATGCAAAATCAATTGAGCAAATATTGTATATTTGTAGCTGTACCTGATATCAGTGCAGTTACAATTGCTCATGCAGTAGCTACTAATCTATTAAAAGTAAAATAAAATAAAAAAATTTCACTTTATGGAGCTCCAAAAACAATATTAACAGATAGAGGGAGAATGTTTATTAGTAACCTATTCAGAAGATTAGCAAAAATATTCTTTATGGAGCTCCAAAAACAATATTAACAGATAGAGGGAGAATGTTTATTAGTAACCTATTCAGAAGATTAGCAAAAATATTCAAGGTAAATCAAGTAACAACTACAGCCTACAGACCACAAACAAACGGAGCCCTTGAAAGAAGTCACGCAGTTTTAGCGGAATTCATACGGCATTATGCGAACTCTAGCGACGACTGGGATAGACTATTCCCATACGCAATGTTCGCGTATTATTATTATTATTATTATTATTATTATTATTATTTTATTATTATTATTATTTTTTTTTGTCAGTACACGAGGCTACCAAATTCACACCATATGAATTAGTTTTCGGAAAACTAGCTAGGACCCCCACAGCTTTTCCAAGCGAAGGAAAATTAGAAACCTATGAATCATACATACAAGAATTAATAATACGGCTAATAGAAATCAGGGGAATTGCAGCAACAAATATAATCAAAGCAAAAGAATCTTCTAAGAAAATATACGATAATAAATCCAGACCACTAGATGTAAATGTTGGTGATGTAGTGGACGTTTGTGAAGAAGTTAGAACAGGAAAATTTGAACCTTATTATCATGGGCCGTACGAAGTAGTTTCTATCACGGAAAACAATAACCTAGTACTCTGTGATGCAGAAAAAAAAGATTCAGAAAACATAAGGATCAAGTCAAGAAAGCTTATTTATGACTAGAAGATCAAGCAGGGTTTAGGAAGGACGAAGAAGGATATGTACACGTTTATACTGATGGGGCATGTAAGGCCAATGGAAAAGACAAGGCCAAAGCAGGAATAGGAGTATGGTTCAATTTCAACCATCCTAAAAACGTTAGTGAAAGGGCTCAATTAAAGCAAACTAATAACAGGGCAGAAATAGAAGCTATATTAAGAACTTTAGACATAATAAAATCATTAGGTTATAAAAAAGTCAGAATTCACACTGTATCTAGAGTTACGATAGATAGTTATCATCATTGGTTACCAGTATGGGAGAAGAACGGTTGGAAAACCAACAGAAAACGTTCAGTTTTAAATAAGGAAATTTTTGAAATTTTAAAAAATAAAACGCTAGGTTTAAATGTAGAATTAATTTTTGAACCAGGCCATAGCGGGATAATAGGTAATGAAGAAGCCGATAAATTAGCTAAACAAGCTATAGAATTTTAGAAGAATAAAAAAAATCCCTTTTCTATTTTGGGTTACAGGAAAATAAAGGAAAGAAGATGAAACTCACGGAGTTCCTCATGGCAATATTATGCTTATTAAAAACGACCAATGGAATAGAGGACAGCCCTTATATAAGAATCACACCTTTTCAAAAGAGCACTGGTATATTTTTTGAACTGATGCCCAACACACAAAGAATAACAGGAACTTGGCGAACAGTAGTGATTTTAGACACGGCAAATTTGAACAGTCATCTACCTGAACTAGAAGAAAAATTTAAAAGTTTAGAAATACCTTGTAGAAAAATATTGTCGAATAACTGCGAAGAAATTTTAAATTTTCACGGAATAAATAGAAGAATATCGGTTCTAAAAGTGCAATGGGAACAATTACAAGAAACTACACAAGAATTAAGGAACCAAAACGATTATCTAACACAATTGCCATTATCTAAATCGATAAAAAAAGAAGTACACCATGGTTCGGAATAATAGGAAAAATAGCAGGCACTGCAATAGGAGTATTAACTTATGGAGATGGAGAAAAATACGAAAATTCATTACTAGTATTAGATGAAGCTCAACAAAATATTTCCAAACTAGTAGGGGAACAAACACATTTAGTTAGAGCAGAATTACATAATCTCTATAAAGCAGCCGAACAACAACAAAAATTAGCAAATAATTGGCAAGAAAAATTGTATAAATTACAAACGCACATTCAAAATTTCGATGACAAATTAGACAACATAAATTACACGGTTTGGATACAAGCTACCATACCTAATTGGGAAGAACATTTAGACATTTACGAACATGCCTTAGAACAAACTCTTCAAGTAATGTATAGCGCTAAAGAAGGGAAATTACACCCAAGAATGTTAACAAACAATCAATTGTTGAAAATAGCAAAAGAAGCCCAAGAACAACTAGGAGAACTCGTATTTCCAGTAAATTTAAACAAAGTGAATGTAGCAACACTAGGAAAAATATCAATTGTTAATTCCCGAATGAATAACGAGAAATTAATAATGAGACTAGACATACCATTACTAGAAAGGGAGAAATTTCTGCTTTATAAAATGCATGAAGTACCAATATTACAAAAACCAACAATTTATGGAAATAGAGCATACATATCACCTCATGCAAAATATATCGCTACTAGCGCAGCCATTAGAAAATATTTTTACTTAGAAGAAGAAGACCTAAGTACCTGTCACTACATTGAGAATAAATACATATGTCACTAACCAAGTGATATACGATTTAGTTTTAGTACCTAGTTGCGAATCGGAATTGTTAAGAGAAGCCAACAATGAAACATTAAAAAGTTGCGATATTAGAATCACAGAAAATAAACAACCCCATCGGAGCCCTATAACCACAACAGGAAGTTGGATATATTCTTTAACAATCGAGGAAACAGCTTATTTATCCTGCTACAACCTACCAACTAAACCTTTAAAATTAACAGGAGTAGGACTATTACAAATTGCATCGGGATGTAAACTAACTACAGACACAATAGAATTGCCAGCGTTACAAATCAAGGAAAATAAACAAGAATATCTTTATGAACCAAAATTAGAACTTTGTTTAGAAGAATTAGCACCTATACTACAGGAAAACAAAAGAGAACAAACCTGGACAAGCCCGGAAAAAATTAGACCACCATGGAAAAAAATGGAGGGAGACATTAAATTAGAAAATTTAGAAAACGAATTGAAGCAGCAAAGTAAGCATCGACTAGGGCAAAGAAAACAAAATTATTATACGCACTCGGTATTAGGAACCACTAGTATAGTAGTATTGATAACTTTAGGATATATAATATATTAATGCACAGTAAAAAACAGAAACTCAAAAATCTCATTAACTCCTAGTATTTTACAATTCCGAAAAGACGACGATTCAATATTATACGCAATCCCTAACAAACAGAAAGAAAACGAAAACCTAAAAGGAAAGGACGAAACCCAACAAGAAAAAATATTCCAAACAACAGTACAGATAGAACAAATACCTAAACCTAAAAAACGAGACTGCATACAAATACCACCTAACAGTATAGACGTTAACTAAAAAAAAATAAAAACAAACAAAACTACGCGACAAAATTACAAATTAAAAAAAAACCTTCTTTTAAATTTAAGATAAAAAAAAGAAAGCAACTCAGCAAGGTTAGCATCATTATACAATTAGAATAGAAAAAGACTAAAAAATGAGTAGTTTAAACTTACCGCAGGAAGGTCACTATGGCCCAACCAATAATAAATTTCTGACTCCTGTCCTGAGGCAGAAACTATTTTTCTTCGATATAGCCCCATTATTAACTGATCATTAGGCTCCGGAGTTACTAAAAAAAGGGGGAATATTTTTGTAAAAAAGGGAAGAATATATGGGTGATCCTACTGAAAGGAACCTTTTTTTTGGTTGAATTTCCAAAAAATTAAATTATGCTTTTTTTATTTTTTTTCATAAATAAGTTTAAAAGTTGTTTAAAGATAAAAATATAAATTGCGCAAAATTTGTAAAAAAAACTCGGTAGGAAATTTTTTTTAAAAAATAATAAATTGTTATGTTTTAATTTATTGCATTTTTTGCTCGTATATTCTATTTTTATTAAATAAATAATTTAATTTGAAGGTTAAATATTTGAAAACAATAATTAAAAAAATTAAAAACAAAAGAAAACGCCTATCAAATATAAAAAAAGGTTTCGGAGATGAACTGAAAAGTTAATAAATTTAATTTAAACTTGATAAAATATTAATAAAAATTAATTTAAATAATGAACCTCATGTTGGAGACACGTGAAGTTGTCCCTTTCAGGAGAATCACCCATATATATATATATATATATATATAGATTACAGTTTATTTAAAAAAAAACTTACCAGAGCAAGAGCTATCACAATACCCAAAGGAAGGGCGCGGCATCAAGCCAATTTCAAAGGTAGCTGCAGATGCTGGATGAACTAAAAAAAATTTAATAATAATGAATTCATAAATATAATGCATACTTAACAAAATACATCTAAAAAAACGAAATTGGTAGAAACAAAAAAAAATCAAAAATTAACATACGGAAAAAAGGAGCAACACGCCCAGAAAAGGAAGGCCCTGCGGTTTCTGCACCCAGCTCCTGAGGCTTTTCTTTTATTTCATCCACCTTAATTTCACTTGTTTCACCTACATTGTGAGGATTTGTTACGTTTGAAGACATCTAAAAGAAAAAGAGAAAAAAAAACATTTTAGGTAATTAACAAATGTAAAATTCTTCAAAGTATTTACTTTAAAAAAAAATCATAATCATTAGACAAATCGAAATTAGGCAGCATTTTTTTAGCAAAAATTGATTTATAATTTGTACTTTGTTTATAAATTTTAAATTTTTTCAAGACAAATGTACAAAAATATTTTCCACTTTCTAATTTTAATTTTCCAATAATCTTATAAAACATTTTTTTTAACAATATTTTCGGCTATTTTCAAATAATTTAAATATTTATCTATATTTAACTTTTGGTCCTTATTTAACTACTGGATATTTATCGATTTTTGCACAAAAGTATCTTTCATTTTTTTATATAGTCGAAATATTTTATTAAATTATATGAAATCCTTTTTAATTAAAGTTAAAATTTTTATCACAATTTTGTAAAAATAATTATTTTTTTTGAGTTATTTGATTGTAAATCTATTGAGAATAATTGAATGTTTATAAAATTTTATATTAAAAAAAAATTATATGAAGAAATAATTAATTTCTTTAAAAAAAAGAACGATTGAAACTGTGTTGCAAATAATTGAATCTCATGCAAAATTTTTATCAAGTCAAAAAAAAAACAAATATTTTTGAAGAAATTTACCAATTAAAGTTCAATTTTTCTATTTTTAAATCCAAAATTATTTTAATTTTTTTAATTAAACAATGATTAATTATATTTAAATTAATAATTAATATTTTTTTAGACATTTACTCTAAAAAAAAGAATTTTTTAAAAAATACAATATAACAGGGATCACAGAGTGTTACGAACTCACCCTTTTGTACCTATTTTGATGATTTGTTACCTTTTTACCTATTTTTAGTTATCATAGTTAGTTTTAAAAATTATTTATTTCATAATTATTTTTCTGCGTTTGAATATTTTTTTCTTAAATAAAATTAACTCTTATTTAATAAGCATTAAAATAAAGCATTAATTAATCGGTTGGACGTGTGGTCACTTTTTCCCCCGTTGGACGATGTAATTTTACATTTTTTTTTGTCAAAAACTCAGAATCAATGCAAAATGCTTTAAATGCATTTTAGAAATCAAAATGTTATTAAAATGATTAAAATACTTGTTTAATTGTAAAAAAAATTCTAAATTTTAATTTTTCTAAATAAATTTTTAAATTCTTATTATTTTTATCTATATTTTTTTGGCTCTGAAGAAAGGTACTTTAGAAGCAAAAGATTGTACATTATGGTTGTAATTTTTAAATGAAATTACAGAAAAGGGGATTAACTCTCAATATTAAAAAAAACTAATATTAAAATCTTCATTACATCTAACATAATAAATCAAAAATAAATTTCGTTCTACAAAATTAAACAAAAACTTTTAATTTTTTAATTTTAATTAAGTAAATAATAACACAAACATAACGATAAATTATATATATATTACAAATATATAAAATTTATAATTATATATTTAGATATTTGAAAAAGTACTTTCTCTCAACAATAAAAATGTTAATTAACCTTAAATTGCATGTTTATTCATGTTTAACAGCACTTTTATTGTTACTCATTTGTTACCGATTTTCCAAAATTGTACCTTTTCACTTTTTTTTAATGATAATAGGTACTGTGATTCCTGATATAATATTAGATATTCCCATTTTTTTGGGAAATTTACAATTTGAAGTTTTAAAAAAATATAATAAATAAAATATGTTTTTTTGCCTTGCTCAAAATTCTTACTCTAAAAAAAAGGAAACAGAGAATTAATTTATTTAAAAGTATCAACAACCTAAAACCTAAAATTTTTTTAAAGAAAAAAGAGGGATAAATCATTTTGTTTTACAGAATGGCCTAAATTTTTAATATAAAAATTACTCACGTTATTGTAGGTTAAAATCCAGGTAAAATCAAACACCACTCACGACACACAATAGAACATAACTGACGCTCAAAACTGCAACGGAAGGAAAAAACTAGATAAAGTTAAGATTACAGCGCAAAGAACAATGAACATACACTCAAAAACTCAGCTCACCGGGAGATGCTGTCATTAAGTAGTAAATAATTGAACTATAAAAGCAAAAACATATTACTATATTTTATATAAAAAAAGAAGACAAAAAATTACAAATTAAAATAACACTACATTTAAAAAAAAACACTTTATGCAGGAATCCACGCAGACTCTTAAACCAAAACCCCAACGCTGAAACACACAAAAAACACAAAATATTTCTATTACAAAAACAAAGAAACAATACTCTAAAAACATTTTTAAAAAAAAGAAAAAAGAAAATATCCGTCAAATTTTTTTAACCCCTAACAAAAATACTATTATTAAGAATTTTAAAAAAATAATTTTTTTTAAATATCTAAAGATACAAAGATAAAAAACTTACCACTTCCCAACCAGAAAAACCGCGAACAAGATCATCCCAATCCTGGTGATATCTCTGGATGAACACCAGCTCCAACAATTCACTACGTGGACGAAAACCGCGAGCAAGAGGGTAACAGGGCAAATTCGAAAATGGACTAAAAAAAGAAAGAAAATATCATACAAATAATATAGATTTTTTTTAACAAAAATTGAATTTCTACAAATTTTACACAGAAACTATCAAATTTTAATAACAACAACCAACAAAACACAACATTAATACAATCAAAATAAAACACTCACCGAGAAACAATATTGACACCCAAACAACCCACAATCTCCTCCATAGGTTCCTCCTCCGGCACGACACAAATATTGGGGCTTTCAAAATCTACAGGAACCCAAAAGCACCGGGTCTCATACTTTTTCTCCGCCCAATTCCAGCGGTATTCTTGCACCCAATGTGGGTCATTAAAAACAATATTCCTGGTTTCCTAATGTTAGATTCGTAATCAGCGACTCTTAAAATCCCCGAGTAACAAGTTTTAAGCAAATTCGACGAATTTTGAAAAATTTCCGCCATCTTGGATCCGCCATTTTGAATTTCGAAAAATTGATGTCAGATTCGTAATCAGCGACCCCAGAAACCTTAAGGTACTAAGTTTCATAAAAATCCATTAAAAAATTTTTCAACACACTTTTGGCCCAAACAGTGTAAATCTTGTTGACAGCCAAGGGGTTAATAGAACTATTTTGCAAGCTTGCAAATAAAACCGTGAGAACAAAGATCCAACCGGACGGAGACAATTCCATGACAAAAAATAATCTTTATTTTATTTTTAGATTAACAAAATATGAAAATCTTTCGAAAATAATTTTTTTATATATATTTTCTTTTTCTTTTTTTCATATAAAAACACTGTCAAGGGACGACAGCACATAAAAAAAGGGGGGGGGGTATGAGGCAGAAAATCAGAAATTTTCAATTTTTCTTTTATATTTTTTTTTGGTTAATTTTTTTCTCTCTCACAACATTTCTTTTAATGATTTTGTGCAAAATTTATATTAAAGAAACAATGTCAGCCAACAAACAAAATCAAATTAACATTATTTCTTTAAAATTCATGATCTTTTTCCAAAAGTTTTTGCTTAGCGGAATAATTTTTTAATACAGTTCGATAGGATGAAATGGTACCGATAGATTAGTTTAGTCGGATAGATGCCTCGCTTGGCGGACGTTTAAGGACCAAGGGTAAGTACCCTTGGTTCACGCCCTTTTGGCTTGGTATATTTCCGACACGTGAGATAATCTGAGCGGGAGGTTTGACGTCGAGGTATAATGATGCGCACCGTCGATTATTGTCCGGTACACATCATTAGAACTTGACTGTCGATAAACTGGTTGTACTCAGGAGAGGTTTTCTACAGTTTCCCTCTTCACTGGCGAGAAAACCCATTAGACGGGTGGTCCAGGCAAATGCGAGTACTCCTAATTTTCAAGTCGTTCTGTAGGCGCAAAAATTTAGAATAAGTATGTAAGAAATTGTAAATCTGATGGAGAAAGTGTACGACCTATTGCTCTAACATCCTGTATATGTAAGCTTTTTGAAACCCTTGTAAAAAATCGCTTACAGTGGTGGTGCGAATCTAATGACATTCTCCCCATGACTCAGAGTGGTTTCAGGGCCGGTAGATCTTGTGTTGGCAATCTTATAAATATATCTACATGTATTAATGAAGCATTTACGAATCGTCAGCAAGTGTTAGCAGCGTTTTTGGATATTAGTGGCGCATTTGATAACGTTAGAAGCGATACTCTTTTGGAAAGACTTGCGTCTATAGGTTATTCTAAAAAATGATTTTGTTTATTAAATTTATGACGTATCAACGATATATTGATGCTAATTGTTTAAAAGATAGTTTTAGAGTGGCTGGCAAGGGGGTACCCCAAGGAGGGGTTCTCAGCCCGTTACTTTATATCATATATGTGAAAGATATTACTGAAAATGTACCTAAGTCTGTAAAGGTATCTCAATTTGCCGATGATATTGCTGTTTATATAAGATTTAATTCAATTAAAAGATGTAAATCTATAATGGAAAAGTCCATACAGATAATTAAGAAAAACATCTCAGATTTGGGTCTTGATCTCTCACCTCAAAAAACTAAATTAATTCATTTTAATAATAAAAATATCCATCCTGGGGAGGTCGAATTATTTATTGATAATATTCCTGTTAGATCTACAGAATCTGTTCGTTTTCTCGGCATAACATTTGATTATAAATTTCTTTTTAAGCAGCATGTGAACTATATTCTTAAAAGATGTCTTAGAGCAATAAATATTATTAAATATCTGCGAGGAACTTTGTGGGGAGCTGACCCCGAAACACTTATGATTTTATTTAAGAGTTTTGTACGCTCCATAATCGAGTTTGTAATTTTTGTATATTTTCCTAATCAAAAGAATAATGAAAACAAGATAGAAGGGGTTCAGTACTCAGCTATTAGAGCCGCACTTGGTTATCGTCTTAGTACTACTAAGAATATACTTCTTGCGGAATAAAAATTGATATTGATTGAGAAGCGTGCAAAATTCTTGTGCAAATGCGACTTTCAAAAAATATTGTCATTTGAGAACTCTTTAATTAAAAATAACCTAATACGATACTATTTAAATTTTAAAAAGAGAAAAAGAAAAGGTAAACTTAAAATTATTGATCATTGTTTTGAAAATGTTTGGAAAAACTGTAACAATCAATATGTGTCGAACATATATTATAATGATTATAAAACGTTAGTAACGAAAATAGATGTTAATACAGTACTGGGAAATGAATTGCGATCTGTTGACTGTCCGAATCAATTGCTATCAGATTTTTTTATTGTAAATACGGCAACTGCGATTTATACAGATGGTAGCAAGGTTATGGGTTCCAGGTCTGTGGGCGCTGCATATAATTGTCCAGAATTGAGTATTATAAACAAAATGTCAATTGATAGTAGGGCTTCAGTGTATACAGCTGAAGGCTATGCTATACTGAATGCTCCTAAGATAATAAATGATAACCCTTTATTAAATTTTTATATATTTTCTGACTCTTTAAGTGTTTTAAGTTCTCTTAATTCAATAAAGTGGAATATAAAAACTAGTTCAATTATTTTTTAAATTAAAAAAGCTTACAATCTTATAGTCGAAAATAATCCTAATTAAACAATTAAGTTTTTCTGGATTCAATCACATATTGGAATAAATGGCAATGAAACTGCGGATATTAACGCTAAATTGGCCACTGAGTTGGAACCATTAGATTCAATTCAAATACCATTTACAGATTATTATGAATACTTTAAAAAAGAAGCAAAAAGTTCTACAATAGATTTTATAAAAGAGCAGGCCTTGAATAAAGGTAAACAATATTTTGGTAATTATTTTAGTAATAGTTTGTATCCCTGGTATTCGAAAAAAAAATTATCTCGAAGGACTATTGTTATGGTGAATCGTTGCAGGGCCAATCACTACAATCTTGCTGAGTCATTAGCAAGAATAGGTATAATTGATGACCCTTCATGCTCTTGTACATATGAGACTCAAGACTTAAATCATGTAGTTTGGCAATGTCCACTACATAATGAGAAAAGAGAGATACTGATTAAAAATTTAAAGCAAATTAATTTACATCTTCCGCTTAATATAAATGTTTTAATTGCTAAGCCTAATATTAAGGCCTTCAAATATTTAAATGATTTTTTTGTAATGTGTGGTTTCTTTGTATGATTGTTCCTTGTTTTTTCTTTTTTGGTGTGATGATTGTACTTAATGTAATTATGCACATATATATGTATTTGTAATAAGTCTTATGTAAGACTTGACAATTTTAAATAATAAAAAAAAAATAGTAATAAAAAAATTGTAAAATAATTAAACGAATTTTAATGAAATCTGATATATTTTTGGAAAATTATTCGCAATATTAGATCTGAAATTTTGAATGTCAAAAATCGGACTTCAGATTTGTAATCAGCGACCCTAAAAACCCCTGGGTAAAGGAATATTGATCGAATTTGATCAATTTTTTGAAAATTTGTCCTCCATATTGGATCCGCCATTTTGCATTTTTAAAATCTAAGTTAATATTCGTATTCATCGACCCCAAAAACCCCCGAGTAAGAAATATTAATCAAATTGAATCAATTTTTCGAAAATTCGTCCGCCATATTGGATCCGCCATTTTGAATTTTCTAAAACGACGTTCAGATTTGTAATCAGCGACCCCAAAAACCCCCGAGTAAATAGTTTCAACTGAATTTGTGCATTTTTTACAAATTTCACACACGAGGTTTTTATATTATAAAAAAATGACTTTTGGTCGCCATTTTTTATCCGCCATCTTGAATTTTAACCAAATAAACTTTATACCATCTGAAAGCTTGAACATTTTGGACCCGATATTTAAAGGTTTTACGAACTTCTTCGGACTCAATACCTTCGATAAAAATTCATTTTGAAAAAAAAAATTTCAAAAAACGACGTTTTTTCCAAAAAAATGTTTGTAACTTTTTGGTTTTTTTTAAATTTCGAGTGCAGATTAGGGACCATCCATAAACCACGTAGCCTGCTTTGGGGGGAGGGGGTTCGGTAATGTGCTACGTTAGACCACATGGGGGGAGGGAGGGTTTTGTGTCTGGGCAACGTAGCTTTGTATTTTTATTTGACATACATTTTTTTGAAATTACGCGGGCAGCTCGAAAGTCAATTCCAGAGATATATGTGGACGTCCCACATGAAAATGGACCATTTTGGCACTATTGGAGTTATCTATATGGGCGTATTCCTGGCAAAATTTGGAAAATTTTGAGTAGTCTTAGAACTTTTTTGGTTAAAAATTCGCTGAGTTACGGAATTTAAAAGTTTAGAACGCCAAAAACCTAATTTCGAGAAAAACGGTTACCTTGAAGATAAAAAACCAACAGGTTTTAAATTTTTAAAACCATCCCCCCCTCTTAATTTTGAAAATACGAAAAACTTTTTTTTTCTGAAAAGGACAGTTTTTCTATTAAAGAACCATTTTTTTACAAGATTAATGATTAGGTACAATTTTATTGTGTCATTTGAAGAAAAAGAATAGATATTAGATAACTTATTTAAAAATTTTTGACAGTTTCTATTATGAAAAAATTAACGTAATATCCAAATTTTCATTTCGACAATTACGAAAAAAAGACTCGAACATCAATATCACTGGTTCTTCTGGAAAGTTATTCAGATAAGAATTGTTTACAGTCCAGGACACCTTAAAGATGAAAAATCAAGAGATTTTAAATTTTTTCCACACCTCCATTTTTGAAAATACGGATTACTTTTGCAAATGACCGCCAAAATGGGCCCTTTTCATTTTTCTAAAGAACCAATGAAATCAAACAGTTAAATTATCGATAAATTAATGAAAA